AATAAAAATCTTTAAAAAAAAAAATAGGACTCTACAGATTCAATTCAGTTCCTATTCAAATATCACTGGCATTCTTCTCAGAACTAGAGCAAATAATCCTAAAATTTATATGGAACCACAAAAGAGCATAAATAGTCAAAGCAATCTTGACAAAGAAGAACAAAGTTGGAGGTATCATACTCCCTGATTTCAAAATGTACTACAAAGCTATAATAATCGAAACAGTATGGTACCGGCACAAAACAGGCAGATAGATCAGTGGAACAGACTGGAGAACCCAGGAATAAACCCTTGCTTATATGGTTAATTAATCTACAACAGAGGAGGTAAGAATATACAATGGGGAAACGACAGTCTCTTCAGCAGGTGGTGGTGGGGAAACTGGACAGATACATGCGGAAAAATGAAACTGGGTCACCTTACACCATATACAAAAACAAACTCAAAAATGGTTTAAACACTTAAATGGAAAATCTGAAACCATAAAACTCTTGGGAAGAAAACATAGGTAGGAAACTATTTGACATCAGTATTAGTAATATCTTTTTTGGATATGTCCTGACGAGCAAGGGAAACAAAAGCAAAAATAAACAAATGGGACTTCATCAAACTAAAAGCTTTTGCACAATGAAAAGACAACCTACTGAATGGGAGAATACTTTTGCAATTGACATATTCCATAAGGTGTTGGTACCCAAAATATACAAGGGACTCAACTACAAAAAAGTAAAAAAAAATGGGCAGAGGACATGAAGAGAGACATTTCTCCAAAGAGGACTTGCAGATGGCCAACAGACATGAAAAGGTACTCAACATCAGGGAAATGCAAAGCAAAACCACAATGAGATACAATCTCACACAGGTCAGAATGGCTATTTTCAAAAAGTCAACAAATAACAAGCGTTGCGGAGGATGTGGAGAAAAGAGAACCCTTGCTTACTGTTGGTGGGACTGCAAATTGGTGCAGCAACTATGGAGATTCTTCAAAAAATTAAAAATAGAACTACCACATGAACCAGCAACTCCACTTCTGGGCATTTATCCAAAGAAGATGAAAACACTAATCTGAAAAGATACTTGCATTCCTAGGTTCATTGCAGCATTATTTACAATAGTCAAGATATGGATGGAACCTAGGTATCCGTCAATAGGTGAATGGGTAAAGATTGTGTGTGTGTGTGTGTGTATACATATACACAATGGAATATTTCTTAGCAGTAAAAAACAATGAAATCCTGTCTGTCATTTGCGACATGGATGGACCTACTATCCTAAGTGAAATAAGTCA